AAGTATTCTCGTAGCTTTGTAAAATTACAGCTGAACCACTGATGTCACATCGACTATTTAAAAAATTATTTTTTTGGTGTTTTTGCCTTTTATTTAATAGGACAGTAGTTAGACAGGAAGCAGAGTTGGAGAGATGGGGGGGATGGGATCGGGAAAGGTCCACGAGTCGGGACTCAAACATGGGACACCCGAAGCGCAATTGTGCTACATGTCAACATTGCTGCCCACCAGGCTATTGGCGCCGACCACATCGATTATTTTAACGATGTCCTTACTATGTTTCTGGGTCTTGAATGTGTCAGTTGCATTGCTTTCTATGCAGGTTAGAAAGCTCTCAGGTTTCATCAAAAATATCTTAATGTATTCCGAAGATGAACGAATGTCTTACAGGTTTGGAACAACATGATGGTGAGTAAATAAGGACAGAATTTTCATTTTTGAGTGAGCTATCCCTTTAACAATATTGAACTGTTTGGAGATAATTGTCACTGATGGGTGAATTTACGTTTAACCTACTGGATCTACATGTCTCCATTGCCAACTGTTTTCCATATTTTAGAAGCGCTCTCTTGTGTAGTCCTCCTCTCCTGAGCGTCTGTTTGGGGCTTGTAAAGTTTTATTTGCACTTTCCACTTTGTATCTATCATCCTCCTAATACTGCTGACCGGATCTCTGAGAGCTTAACTGGTGCACTGGAACAAATCCTAGTTCTGCGAGCTTGTTTGAGAAGACAGATAAAAAGTCTTGATTGTTGACATGCTTTGTGTTTATTGGATCTTGGGAGCGGTCCTGAAGGAGAACTCAAAGCAAGGTTTTAAGTACTTGTTTTGTGTGTGGTATAGCTAGTTTCATTGAAGATCTTTTTGGCCAGATTATAAGCAAATGTTCACAAAACTCGTGTCCATTTGTGCTGTTTTTCTAGTTATATGTGTCTAGACAGGCACAATTTTTATTATTTTAGCTGTTGACCAAAACATATTTAAGTTACAGTTATAGAACTACAGTGCACACTTTACTAAACTGAGCTTTAATTTGAGGGTATTCTCATCACAATTGGAGGAAAGATTACGGAAATACAGCTCTTTAAAATGTACCTCCCCCCTTTTTCAAGGGACCATAAGAAATTGGACAGTTGACTCAAAAGCCATTTCATGGACAGATGTTGGCTATTCCTATGTTATTTCTACATCAGTTAAGCAGGTAAAAGATCTGGAGTTGATTCTAAGTGTACCATTTGCATTTGGAAGCTGTTGCTGTGAACCCACATCATGCAGTCAAAGGATCTATCCATACAAGTGAAACAGACAATTGTTAGGTTTAAAAAACAAAACAAATCCATCAGAGAGATGGCAGGAACATCAGGAGTGGCCAAATCAACTGTTTGGTACATTCGGAGAAAAAAGAACGCATTGGTGAGCTCAGCAACATAAAAGGCCTGGATGTTCGTGGAGGACAACAGTGGGGGATGATCGGAGGATCCTGTGAATAATGATATTACGCAGCACCTGAAAATAGGCTAACTTCCATCAGCATAACCAACGTGACCACCTGCTTGCACAGGGAGCGTGCTGGGGACTATTTTCAGGCGCTGCGTAATATCATTGCGCCTGCTGCACCCATGGTATGGCAGCAAAGTTCCTTGATTATTACGCCGGAATGAGAGTATAGTTCCTAGCCATATCGGCCTAGAAAATCGCAACTCTTCATTTTCCGTCGGTCTTAGTACACGATGTAACTACAGAAGAGTCAAGTTTTAAATAGGAAAAATATAGAAACTCTTTGGTCATTTTTGAGCGAGATGCTAACGGTCTAATCAGATTCAATGATCTATGCTAAGCTACAGCTAAAAGTGCTACCGCCAGACCTGGAGATTGGCTGAATGGATTCGAAAACAGTAAAACTCAACTGTTTAACTCTAGGGGAGCTGGAAAATCAGCCTATTTTCAAAAATAGTGGAGTGTTCCTTTTTTTTGGGCGTTAAATAATGGCGCAAATACCAGTAATTTGACGAGCACAAATGATAGTAAATTGCATTGTGTGATTAATTTTAATACTCTTCTCCCAAAAATTCTGTGGGAAACTCCTACTGTAATTCCTAAGCATTTTGTTATATTTTTGTTCAATCCCTTGAATAAAGCTTAAAGTCTGCACTTCCATTTCATCTTGATTGTTTTTGGATTTTAATTCTATTCTGGTGGCATTCAGAGCCACAATTATGAAAATTGTGCCAGTATATACGGACCTAACTAGTTGTTTTATTCAGAACTGAAAAGTATTGGTAAAAATTATTCAGTCCAATTTATGTTAGGCCATTTTACCTAATATTTATGTTTTTGTGTGTATTAAAGTGTCACTGTTAGCTTAGCAACATGCTAACTTCAAACTCTACTCTCTGAAGTCAGAGAATAGAGTCTACAGTGTGTTTCACTTGTTGTGTGCAAAAATTGCTGCCTGTATAGAATGTTTCAAATTAGTTCCTATTAGTTCCGAATTAGGAAACTGCTTTAGCTCAGTATGTTTTGGAACAAAGCTAAAAATAAGAGTATTCTGATTTCCACATTTCACTGTATTCTTCATAATCTCTCCCACTTTGTCTCTATTATCCTCCATCATGTCCATGGGGATATCATCTTACATCAAACAACAATACTTAGAGACAGTTTGAGAAGTAGTGGTCTGAGAATGGAGGCAATAATCCAGCTTTCTCATCACTTTCAAAAAGTACAGAAACTAGAGCCCGACCGAGATGGGTTTTTTGGGGCCGATACCGATATAAGGGAGTAAAAAAAAGGCCGATACCGATATATCGGTCGATATTCTTTGTGTATATTATAGTACAGTACCAGTCAAAAGTTTGGACACTTTCCCATTCGTGTGTCCAAACATTTGACTGGTACTATATATAGAATACAGTATATACATACAATGATGAGTGCGATGCACAAAGTAACGGGGTGTTAGTTGAGTTTCAATGGTTTTCCATAGACTTAAGCTTTAAAGCGTTTCATCCGGGTCTGCAGTAGCAAACAATAGAGTGCGCTCTGCTGGACAAACTAAGTAATTACACCATTTCAAGCATTTTATCTGCATTATATGTTCTGTAAAAAAAATGTTCATATCGGCGGCATATTCGCCGATACCGATATATAATATCGGCAAAACGATATATCGGTCGGGCTCTAACAGAAACGTGACACATGCACATCCCTGTCTCTTGTGATTGCAGTCACATCCTCTCCCTCTTGCAGCTTTTCCCCTGGTTCCCTTTTCCCAAAACACCTCTCCTCCTGCCAAGTGTGCAGAGAGGTAAGTGTTAGAGAGGGAAAGTCCTGCAGAGAATCACAATCAGATAGTTACCGCTGTCCTCATCTGTACTTAACTACTGCTTGAGATAAAGTGTACAACCACTGTAGTCATTGTACTGTTTTGGCAAAAAAATGACTGATTAAAACCAAAAAGTATGCCCATAAGCCATGATATCCCTCTTCTTGGTCACGTTTTGCTGCAAGTGTGTTTGTGCCCTAGCCCTAGCTTAAAACACATGAAAGAAGGATGATTGTTTGAAAATCTTTCCAGTTAGCCGTTTTTGTCTGCGTATTGTATTTTGAAAAGGCCTGTGGTCAGTTGTATATGCTAGTGGGCCGCACCCACAGAAGGTATTGTAGTTGCAGTGACAGACTGAGAATGGTTTAATTACAGCAGCGGTTTTGCTGAGGATCTCTGACTTCTGGCTGAGTGGACCAGTGTCAGCAGTGGGGCAGGGCCAGATTACCCACAGCCCTGAGGCGGTTCTGCGGTTTACCTCAACAATCTCATCAGACTGACTGAGCAAAAATACTCCTCTGATTGCCGGGCTCTCCCCGGAGTTAGACTGAACTGACGCATACTTCGCCCTACCGCCGGTAATGAAAAGACCTCTGTCCACGCATTGAGAGAAAAAACATCTCTCAGGTTATAAAGGGAAAAAGAAAACCACTGTTTGTGGGCAGCACTTGGAAAATAAACAAACACAACAGCACCTATACTGAAATAAGTGGGTTAATAATGATATTACAGCAGAATGAGTTGTCTTGGAATATAAAGCACAGTTGTGAACTGGGCATGACCCAGAAGTGTTTCTGTGTTAAAACCAACTATCTTTGGCTTGAGGAATGGTAGTTTCAGCAAAGTCCGTGACCACATCCACAAAGTCTTTTTTCTAAACGTTTTGTCCTGTCAAAGTTGCCGGTCACTGAGGTATGCTGGATGATGACTGATTTTTGACAATTTTACTGTATATATATATATATATATATATATATATATATATATATATATAT